CTTTGTAGAGCCAAACCAACGGGAATAATAAGGGAGACTTCCAATACTCGGGAGAATGAAATAATCAGAGGTAGGATTCAGACCAGGGAAAGAATGTTCCGGGATGCTGGCTTTTTGAAGGCACTCAAGAACAGAGTGAAAGACTGAGCTGCAGTGAGCTAACAGGGGCGTCAGTGGGGTGGGGGGGAGTGTGGACTCACTTATCTGTCACAAGGAAATAAACACAACTCCAGGAACGTTGTGACAATACATATATTATCGAGGAATACATAGAGTAACAAGGTAGTAGAAATCCACTTTATAAGTAGTTTCTCACAACAAATATAGTTTCTGCTTAGGGAATAAGAAAGAGAAGTCTGTTTTCCGGATATGCCACTCTGCAAAACAGCTGTGACTTCAAATCAAGAATTGGATAAATGGCACATTATCTGGTTCTTTAGACAAATTTACTGAAGCTAAGGCTTCAAAGTTGGGACAACCAGGGAGTTTGCTTTTCCTTTGAATCTTGCAAAACCTATCCTCTAAGACAAAAAGATCTGATCATAGAGTCTATAAAAAGTCTAGAGAGTATAAAAGTAGAGAACTACGAAAGTGGACATATTGATGGCAACTTTTATGGCTTCCATAGAAAGTGTGGGGAGGATCTCTGGTTTGCTTTATCGAGGTAGTGTCCAGGGCTGGAAGGCCATTGTCATTGAGTACACGTGCTACAGATGACAGGAGCAGGGGAGTTCGGTTGTTCTTATTGCATAAAAATGCCACTCTCTCCAGTGGCTTAATGACCTTTCGTTCCTGAAAAGAAATGGTCTTTTGGGAAATTTCCTATCTTGGTTTAGGCAAAAAGAAATTAAAACCCGTTATCTATTTGCTCAATTTTATCGTCTGAAGGATTCCAAGAGAGCAGGTTTTTGTCACGGTAGAATAGTTGCTAAAATTCCTAAGTGAAACTTATCCCCCTTTTTAGGAGCCACTTCCCGTACCGTCTAGAACAGCACGGAAATGTTCACCATGTGGCTCAGCAATGTCATACAAGTTGTCTCTTCTATACAGTAGCTCAAACGGAAGGGTTTCCCCTAACTTTTGTTTTCTCCCTTCTTCTTCCTCTTCTCTTTCACAGTAACATCCCACCTACCACTCTGTTTCACTGACTGAAATCTGCAAGATGGGGAAAATAAATAACCATCGGCAATGGATTTCTTTTTCTGCCCGATCTTCTCAAAATGTTAAACCTCCAGTGATGTAAAAGAGAAACACACATATCCATTCGACAAACAGAAGAACTGAAAATAATTTCAAGAACTAGAAAATTCAAAGTCGACAAGCATCTCTTCAGCGTGCTTTTGCCTTCAGTTAGTTTCCTAGGGACAATCAAATTACAGGGAGCCTTCTAACCACAAATGAAAAGGTACTTCCAACAAAGGTAGTTTTTAAAAAAATCGTACAACCACAGTCATGGCATGCTCAGTCAATAATTTAGACCAATTCACGTAAACGGTAGACTGTGGAAGTAAAATAACTGATTTGCAAAGATTTCTCGGAACTCCCATAAAGTCTTATGTGGAGCCTCCCTGCTTGCTAAAAAGTAAGAATCAAATCACAAATATACACGGAAATGAAGCCACATGCCTTTAAACTGCTCGTCTTATTTTCTTCATTCAAATAAAAAAAAATCTAACTCAGGATGAGCCTACTTCACTCGATTTGAGAAAGCAGCAAGCAGCCTTTCGTTAAGGCTAAGGAAGAGTTTATATCTGAATGCTAAATCTATGAGAAAAGAATAGGACAAGGAAAAGAAAAAAAAAAAAAAAGTAATGTCAACTCAAGAAAGTCCTTGGGGAATTTTCCTCCAGTAAGCCTTAACCCTACCAACAATAGAAGCCTTTGGAGACAGTAAAATTAAATAATGAGAAAAGAGCCTCAATTGGATATCTATATAACACTGAAATGTGGCCTTGGTTTGTCTTTAAAAGACAAAGGTCAGGTAAGGGCTGGGAACTCAAACCCCTCCATGGTTCTTTTTTTCATGAACAGATAGCAAGCAGGCATGAAGTTCTCAAGTCACAGGGAGCTGTGCTCGCTGTTGGAGGGAACACACCAGAATGCAACTCTCATCTTAGTGAAGGACCCTAATCAGATTTCCAACCCTGAGTTTGAGTCTTAAGCACGTTCAACCTGATGCACATATATGTTTAAGGCTTAATCCTGCAGTTCTTGGGTTCAGAAGCATGAATGTTGCAAATATTCTTAATGCATTTCATTATTTATATGTGATATGACACTGATGAGGAGTCATTGTGTTCTGAGCAGTGTTCTTGAAGACCACAAACCCCAGGTCAGGGAAGGTATACTTATCTAGGGTTAAAAAAAAAAAAAAAAAATTAGAAGCTTCCAGATTGTTCCACAATACATTTCACTGTGAAATGTATTATGTGATGATGCTGATTAAAAAAAAAAATTTTATTTTTTTTTTTGCTTCTGTTAAGGGTGGTGGTGATTATTTAATACTGGTTTTCCTATGTAGCAGGCATTTTCTTATGGCTATATTCACTTGGGTGAAAAAAATCAAATATGACTACCTGAATTTTCCAGTGTATAATGATAGCACACTTCATAAAATAGTTGATTCAATGGTCTCAAGTCTAGAATTCAGAATTGTTGCCCAAAACGGTAAACGTATGTAGAACAAAATAAGGTACTGTAACCAATTAACACTTTAAAAAAAACTATCTTAATATCATAGGCTTGGCCATTTAGTAATGACATGTCTACATGAAGGTGTAGATCCATCCACAAACCTGTCAATGGAGTGGGAAGGAGAGTGTGAAGTAAAGGGAGGCAACCACTTTATAATTGTCACAAACAAGAAATTAACTTTCCTTACTGGTTTGGGTACCTGGGTGTCCAAAAACCATATACAAAGATTTAAAATAACATTCTTTAGAAATTACATCCACAAACAGGAAGAAAAGTAGGTCTTTGGATACTTTTCTGCCTCATTCCAAAATTTTCCTATGCTCATCATAGAACGAAAGGCAATAATCAGAAGGAAAAAGTGAGGAAATTTAAAACCAAAAACCTAGTAGAGAATGTGGTATTTACAAAATAGGGTCTTGACCTCACTTGAGAGTTCCATTTTTTCCTACCACAGAGCTAATCAGCCAGAAAAGTGCTTGAGGCATATCTGCACATTTAATATTAAAAATAAATAAAAGCCAGGGTTCTGATTTAGGCAATGATCTAAGCACCTGAGGAAAGAAAAATGAAGAAATGTCCAGATTAAAAACACAGAGGGAGAGAGAGAGAGAGAGAGAAAGCAGACCTAGCTTTGGAACTCAGTTCTCTGAGATTAAAACAAACAAACAAACAAACAAACAACAACAACAAAAAACCCAAAACCAAAAAACACAATTTTCAGCTATATTGACTGAGTCTAGAGAAATCGGATCAGTTAAAGACGAGCAATAGGTTAGCCCTTCTCTCCCTCTCCTATACAAGCTCCTGATCGATCGTGCTCTCGAGGAGCTTCCCAAACCTGGAAAAATAGCCTGTCTTACAGGCAGTAGAGACGCTGCCCTCACCACCTGTGGACACTGCTGTCACATAATTGTCTGCAGAGAACAGGGCAGCAAAATGCAGGAGTTTTCTTTCCCTCGCTACAATTTAAACTGTGAGAGAACAGCTCGAAGTTGTGGATAGAGCCGGTGAAGAGACATATTTGAAAACTCACAGTCAATTTGTTCTCATCCCAACTTCTCAGCTCCCGTCAGCAACATCACGTTTGTGATTTTAGTGTACTATTTTTATCTTGCCACAACAATTCTAGAAAAACACAGCAACCTCAAAACGAGCAGTGTATCGTGAGACTTCCATTCGTCCTCGCCACAGGTGGAACACGGGCAAGCCCCGGGGACAGTGAGAAACAGACAGGACTCGGGACACACAACCCCACTGCTTCCTCCTCCTGATGGCGAACAGCTTGACTTGGGTTTTTAAAACCCGCAAAAGCTTTGGGTGACTTCCCCGGGGAAAGAGGCGACTCCCTGCAAATCGTTCCCTTTAACGTGGTGACCCCACCAAGTGAAACGCGGAGGACGGGAAGGGGCATGTCAGCGAGCCTAACGCACTGACACTTGAGTGTGGGCCGGAGATCTGAAAGCAGAACGTCCTCGGGCAGAGACCTGGTGTCTGGAGACCCTCCCGGATACAGCTCGTCTCTGAAGCACCTTTGAGTCGTACGGATGTAAGAAGAACTTGGAACTATAGAAGTTATACGCATCTTTAAGAATCACATTTTGCTGATTATAAAAATTTTTTTTTCTATTTTACAACATAGGCCCAGCTACACTGAAAAAATTACAGCGCTTATTGAAATACATTTCATTTTAGAAACAGACCGCTAAAGAAGTCTATACAAAAACTCTAAAATAATTTCTGTAGTAAAATAAAGAGTGCGTTAGGAGAGCTACACAAAGAAGAAACTTCCCGTCTTTCTCTCTAATGCTGGATAGACTGGGAAAGACGGCCGGCTCCGTGGCGAAGCCGGCACCAAAAGCTGAAAAGAATTTGTTCGGATACACAGTGATACAATTAATGCTCTGGGTTAATCTCACAGCCTTCCCGATTAGTACAAAGGAAACCAGGCCTGTCCCCTCTTTGAGGAGAAGTCCGGGATATAAAAGCAGGCATACCTCATCAGCTGATAGGAAATTATAAAATTCCACAAGTCTGGGTATTTGAAATTTCTAACAGTCACCAGAAAATGCCAGCAAAGCGGCCTTTAGTTCGGTGGTTCCCCTGGTCCGGATGACCGCTCCCTCCGCGGGCTCAAGGTAGGCTTGGTGCTCACCCCCTCGCCCGGACCGCGAGCGGCTCTCCGCGGGGGCCGGGGACTCGGACAGCTCCGGAAGAGCCCGCCAGCCCCGTCTCCGCGGACGCGCACGCGCACGCGGACGCGCACGCGGGCGCTCGGCTCGCGGACAACGCACGCGGGGAGACGGGCGTTAGTGATGCTGCGCGGAGCTGTTCTTCTCCGCCAGGTGCCGCAGGAAGTTGTCCTCACCCTGGCCTCTGTGATTTAAGGGCTCGCTCTTAAAGAGAGCTGGAGGCGGGGGGAGGTGGGGGACCGGAGGGATGGGGAGGTGGTGTGGGTGGTGGGGGTGTGGGTGGATGTGGAGGTGCGAGAAGGGGTGGGGGATGGGCCGCGGGGGGAGAGTGCTCACGGGAGTCATACTGATCGGAGGGGTGGGGGTGGCGGGGGTGTTCACCACAGACGGAACTGGGGTGGCCGGGGACGTCGTAAGTGGGATCTGGACAGCAGGCGGCACGTTCACGGGGCTGGTCACCCGAAAGCACTTCTCCTTGTGGGCCTTGAGCATGTTGGAGAAGCGGAACCGCTGGCCACACACGTCGCACGGATAGGGCTTCTCGCCTGTGTGAGTTCGGCGGTGCCTCTTCATGTTGGGGCGGCTGGTGAAGCTTTTGCCACAGATTTCACAGATAAAGGGTTTCTCTCCTGAGGTGAACACAGACACACAAAAAGGATTAACACAGTGCGCGGTGATTAGGCGCTCGTGCTATTCCTCATCCTTAATGGGGAGATTAGCACTCCTCTCCCTTAGGCCATGTTATGGTCCCCAAAGTGTTTCCTGAAGTTGGGAATTAACAGGTAAGAGCAGACAGGAGTAAAATTCACATACAACCGACTATCGGGGCACAGTTTAACAACAACATCAAAAAACAAAGAGGCATCTAGGTAGTGATCCTTCACATCCTACAGGAAGAACCCTTCAAATCACCTTCCTACACTTAAGGCGGCTCAGACTGGGGGCCTGTCTCTACCTCTGAAACTTAGGCAAAGTCCATCTGTTAGCCGTTTCTGAATTCCAAACAAAAGAAGGACTGCTAGAAATGTCCTGTGGGGCAAGCAAGTCTCTTCCGGTCAACTTGCACATAAGCCTTAGAATGTGGCATACTTTCTGGTGTTGGACTTGGACGTGCTGGATGCCTCACCTGCCACCAGGCCTCCCATGCCGTGGTGGCTCCCTGTGGGAGAGCCTGCGGGCATTTCTGCAGACAAGTCCTTCATTCTGTGGGACTAGCTGGCCCATCTGAAGAGCACCCGGTGTTCCAGGTGCCAGCCTACTCCCTGCCCCCAAGAGATTCTGGCAACGCGACCTGTCCCCTCACCACGCCTAAATGTCCACGGGTGTGGGGAGGGCAGGGACGGGGCCTGCTGGCCCTGGTTGAGAAACGGGACCGAGAAGCCACAAAGGAAACGAAATTCCAGAATTCTAAAGGCACTGAGGGAGGAAATAAGGGCTTCATTTTTAGGGCTCCTAACTTTTCTTTGGACCGTGACATGGTTCCACGGCCGACCTGCTTCTCTACCTGGGCCACAGTGGGAAAAGAGGATTTTTTTTGTTTTTTAAATTTTATTAACCAAGTTTTTTTTTTCTTTTTTTAAAGCTTTATTTATTTATTTATTTATTTGAAAGACAGAGATCACAAGGAGGCAGAGAGGCAGGCAGACAGAGAGGAGGAAGCAGGCTCCCCGCCGAGCAGAGAGCCCGATGCGGGGCTCGATCCCAGGACCCTGGGATCATGACCCGAGCTGAAGGCAGAGGCTTTAACCCACTGAGCCACTCAGGCACCGCATGAGATGGTTTTTGAACATGAACTTCATACGGAATGCTGCGGTGAGCACCTGTGTACATGTGTGTTAGGGACCACACACCTGTACTGATTAATTCCTTCGTCAATTCTCCGTGCATGGCGCTTGTGCCTTTATCGTAGCTCCTGCCGCGAGAGGCTGTTCTTGCCCCCGTGGAGGCTCCCTGTCCTTCCCATGGTACCCTTGCTCTACTCCGCACAGTAACAGCTGTGCCTGTGTGCCTGGTACCCTTTTGCCCACTTTCCAGCTGTGAATTCTGGTGATTCTCACAGTGACAGCCCGTATGAGGCCGCTGTTCCCACTTCTATTTACTGATAGGAAACTGAGGAACGCGCCTGAGTTCTACAGCTGGAGGAGAGCTGGGATTTCAAGCTGCCGTCTCATTCCATCCGGAGTGTGCTTCTGGAACATCAAACACTGCGCTTCACACCTTGATGCTTTGGGCGCCCCGCGTGCACGAGGGAAAATGAGATTCCTACTGTTCTCTGCTCAGGGACCCCTTCAGACACGCTGCACACGAGCAGAGAACACCTCTTCACCCATGTCGTAGTCCCTGTTCTCCCTGCCTTTGGAAACGGACAGCTCCTGCTGCCCTCCTTCTCTGAAAGCCAGAATTTTCCTCACTTCCTCAAGAGACTGGACGGTGCAGTCAGGAGGGGTCAGTCTCGTCTGTAATCACCAATACGAGTTCCTGACATATTTCTGTTCTCTTTCGGCTTTTCTTTATTCAATCACTACCACTGCCAGGCTCTTCACTGTGATTCATACGCAACTTCCTAGATAACTTCAGAGCCCACCTGGTTTTCCACCTTTTTAATCTGTTTCCTCCAATTACCTAAGAACTTCAAATCTCAGGGTGCCTGGGTGGCTCAGTGGGTTAAAGCTTCTGCCTTCAGCTCAGGTCATGATCCCAGGGTCCTGGGATTGAGCCCCAAATCGGGCTCTCTGCTCAGCAGGAGGCCTGCTTCCACCTCTCCCTCTGCCCGCCTTTCTGCTCATTAGTGATCTCTGTCTTCTGTCAAATAAATAAAATCTTAAAAAAAAAAAAACCCAAAACTTCAAATCTCTGGTTAAACAGAATTAATTAAATCAATATGGCATTCCCATCTGATGGAAAGCACCATTGAAAACAGTATTACAAAGGTACAGAAATCTAACTACTAACATGAAAATCCATAATCTATTAAGCTTATAGTCTATTAAATAAAATGAGCAAGTTATGAAAATGCACACATGGTATTATCCACTTTAAGTTAAAAATAGGTATAGAAAAAACATAGAAAGAACTACAACAAATAGTGATTCTCTCTAGGTAATGGGATGATGACTGATGTTTTAACACTTTTTTCGGCTTACATGCACTTTCTGTTTCTCTCAAATAAACACACTTTACTTGGATAATACAATGTTTTAAAAGCATACTTGTTTGACAACCTCTCAACTCTCCTCCCCCACCCTGGGCTCTCCAGGGTTAGTACTCTTTACTCCCAACAGCTATATGGAAACCGAGTCAAAGGACTCACTCTCTGAATTAGCCTAAGTGGAGCAAACACTCTCACCTGACTCACTAACCACCTCTCGGCACACCAGGCCCTGCGTCCACAAACAGGATTCACTAAGCTTGCTGAAATATATGGACATTAACTCTCTGTTGCGTGTTCTACCCTGGATCAAATTTGGGATCTCTCTAACCATCGCCCCATTTGTAGTCTTCTAGGCTAATGATGATTTGCCACAGAAAGGCCAAAAACTATTAGAACCCACCTACCACAAACCCATGGGTTCAAATTAAAAATGGATTTTTTTCTATTGCTTAGTCATCTTTTATTCATTTCCTGAAGTCCTACCAAATTTCCCACATTTATTGTTCCAGATGTAAGCCTACAATCCCACTTACCTCCTCTAACTCTCACTACTCATTCGGCCCCATCCCCTGATTGTACTAATGAGTGATGTTACGGTCTCCTCGAGACCTCCAGGTAAGCTTATAACGAGGCTGAAATAAGGAAAAATAAAGACATAACATTTGCAATCCATCACCTGCATGACATCCCACTTTAAGGAAGAGTTTGTAACGGGGTGGCTGGAGGATACACTAAAGCTAAGTCCATCAGGGTAACTAGAAAAGGACTTCGATCACCATCAATACACCTAAGGACATGACCTAGTTGCCACATATAAAGCTAAGCTGACTGTAAGAAGCAGGAATGTAATGAGTCTGAAGAGTGAACATCACACATGAAGGCAGAGACGCTACAGGAAGACAGGAAAGAACAAGAATCTGTCTGGCTACCTAGCTGTCTTTTGCACTGTTCAAAGGAACAAGCGATCTGGCTTCCAGTCTACTTAGTAGGAATATCCGTGAGCAGCGATCCGAAATCTGTGTATGTATACACGCAGCCGAAGTCTCTCTAAAGTCTTTAGCTTTAAACCCATTTTGCAAACTGCCTACTGGGTATTTCCACATGAATGTCCCGTAGAGGTCCCAAAACTAGCAAGTGCAACATTAAATTCATTATCCTACTTGGCAAACCAGCTCCTCCCTCTACCGTTCTCTGTCTCGACAAATGGCATTCGAGAGCCAAATCTGGGACTATCCCTTAATTCTTCCCTTTCGCACCACCTTTATCTAATCAGTCCCCACACTCACCTGACCCCATCATGTGTATCGCTTTCACTGTACCTGCTGCCGTCACCTCAGTCCACGCCATCACCCCCATTCCCCCAGATTACTGCCATGCCCACCTGACTGGTGTTGCCATCTCTTTTCTTGCTCCCCACCTTCTGGCCCACTCTCTACCCTGCAGCCAGAGTGAACTTTCAGACTCAGGTTATAACCTGCTCAAAACCATTCAAGAACCTCCCACTATCCTTAGAATAAAGTCCAGACTTTTTTACGTGGCTTATGGGTTATTTTGGGGACCCGGCACCTGCTTACTGCTCTCCAGTATCAGGTCTCATCAGACTTCCTGCCCAGCCGCCCCCATCCACCAAACTCTAGCCAACTTCATTTAGCTTCATGTACTTGCTCTGGGCTCTTCAGGGAACCTTGCGTGTCTACCCAGCCTGACTGTGAGCCCTGTGAACCTGGGGACACATCGGTCCCGTTCACTACAAGAGCCAAAGTTAGTAAGTTCTTACTTAATGTTTATAAATCAGTATTTGTTGATTCTGAGACACGCGTTCCCGGGTCTCTGACACGGCCATCTGTCTCACACTCGACGGGGCGCTGTGTTTGTTGGCAGCATCTCCTCGGCAGTGTACAAATTAAGTCTGTCTCACAAGGGATGGCTTCTTGGATTTGAGGATGGACGGTACTCACCACTAAGATCACTCAAGTACTTTCTTCTGCTGTAATGCCCTGGCCCTTCCAAACTTCTGATGATAATTTAGCTTCTAACATAGATTTTTATTCAGGCAAAGAACATGATGACCAAAGAAATAAGAGTTCTGAACCATCTGCCACTCAGCCTTCCCACTGTAAATTAATCACTCAGCAATTTCATCTATAGGTCATTGAGACGATTTAACACAGATCGATCCCTCTGAGCCTGATCGCTGGAGTGCACTGCCTCGTCCTGGAAGCTAAGACCCAGGCTCTAGAATGGTGCATTCTGCCCTCCTGATGTCCTGCATATCCCTCCATTAACTTGCTATGTTAAATTATGTCAGAATCATTAAAATATGTGGTTCTGGAGTCAGGCTGCCTTGGACAAGTTATTTAATCTCTGAGCCTTAGTTTCCTCGTCTGATAAACAAAGCTCACAGTAGTAGGCGACTGTGAGAAGTTGAAAATACAAGGAAAGCACTCAGCGCAGTGTCTGGCACACAGCAGACACTCGATGCATTGTAGTGTTTCTGTGATCATGACTAGGGTTATTACCACCACTGTCCCTGTCTCTGGAGCAGAAGCTCCTCGAGGGCAAAAACCAGGTCTGAATTCATCCAGGCACTTAGCACTGTACCTGGTGCGAGGAAAATCAGCAATTACTCTATGCAGAACTCACCCCACATCCACAACGTCCTGGGAAACCCTGGCTGAGTGCTGGGCAGCCTCCCTAGACAGGGTCTGCCTCACTTCTCCTTGACTGCAAAGAAACAGCCCAAACAAGGGCAGTTCCTGCAATGGCCTTCATCGCCAACAAAAATATGTAAAGGTGGTTACTTCCAGCCTCAAAAGAGCTATCTCTTTTCTTCTTCAGGGCTAACCCTTCTCTTTGTATTTTCCCAAGTACTCCCGTCATCCTTCTGTAACACCAAGGGACCAGAGACCCAAAGAGGCCACAGTGAACGGGAGAGCCAGGTGTGCCCAACCCCACTGGCCGGCCACTTTCCCAATGTATCACGAGCAATATGAAAAGGCAGTTGACAAACCAGGGGAAAGTACCTTAATATTGGTGTGGAGCGAGGTCCAGCGTATGTAAATATATATAAGGAGGTATTAGAAACAAAACAAAACAAAACAAAAAGCCAAACACTGTAATGGCAAGGTGAACACGAAAAAGGCACAGGTGATTCCAGAAGGAAAATACACGGACACTCGGTAAGCGCAGGAGAGAACGTCCGATCTCACTTAGCAATGAATTAAATGCCAATGAACACAGTAAGAAGCCATTTCCTACCTAGCAAACCAGCAAGGGTATTATTTAGCATTGGAAAGGGTTGGGAAGATAGGTGCTTTCGTGCACAGCGGGTAAGAGTGTATGTGGATGCCTATTTTGCAATATATACCACCAAGTCGTAAAAACATACGCCTCTCCTTGCCCTAATAATTCCATTTCCAGGAATTCATCCTAAGTGAATCATCATGGATGTGTTAACCTCAAAGCTGTTTATCCAGTACTATTTGTAACAGTAGAAAAACTGGAAACAGGAATCATCTGAATGTCTAGTAGAGAACTGGATTTATAAAGTGGAAACAACATCCTTTACTGTACAGGACTATTGTAAAGGTGACGTTGACTGTAGGAGGTAACGTATGTAAAGCACTTAAGGTAGGGCCTGGCATATATGTGCATAATAAACGATGGCTATTATTACAGCAAATTTACCAGAAGGAATATTATATAACCATTAAAATGATATTGCTATTAATGACAAAATACAGTCAAAAGGAAAAGCCAGTTACAATAAAGACCCAATTTTTGTTTTATGTCTATATACATTAATATACATTTATGTATAGTATCTATTTATATGTGTTAAGAAACTACAGAATTTTCTTAAAATGTATGCTGTTAACAGTAAAGATCTTTCAGTGATGATCATTTTTGTTATTAACTTTCGCATTTTCTAATATATTTTTTAGTAAGTACGTACTACTCTCTTAATGAGAAGGGTGTTAGGAGGCTATATTTCTTTGGAAGAAATAGGAAATACTGAGCTTGCCTCTTTGGTCAAAGAAGAACATTTAACATAAAATTTTATTCAACAAACACGTCAGTCACAAGATACTCTGGTTTCACATTATGGCCATTTCAGGGTCTACAGAGAGAAGGACGAAGGGGAAGGAAGAGAAAGAAACGCAGAAGGAGAGAAGAGAGAACCGGGAGAAAGCCGTCCAGGAGAGGTGCAGAGAAGAGGAGGGCGGGACGGGGGTGTCAGGGCTCCCGGTTCCTTCCAATTTCCTGATGTGGCCAACACCTTGGGGGCGCCCACTGCGTCCCAAGCATCATGTGTGAAAGCAACACAACTTGCCTTCAGCAAAGCTTATTTTTCACCTAGTTCCACAGCTTCCTGCTTTACAACAAAAAACCGAATCCTAAAAGCGACTCAGAACTAAGAGCCTGTCCAAGAGCCACCAAGTTGTAAGAGGAGAATTTGTTAATTACTCTGCTATACCCTGCTGTCCATCCACTTAGGCTTCCGAGTTCTCATTACCCTTTAGGGTGTAGCTGATTTCACTGAGCTCCTCTCAGGACTCTTCATCTACAGGAATCCTTAAAGTCGGAGGGTGCTCTGCTCTGAATGGGAAAGAAGCCCACCGGGCAGGCACTTTTCTCTGGACTTCAACAGAAAAATGGGAACCAGAGCGATCCAGCCAAGGCAGAGTCTTCTCACCTCTGGCTGAGCAAAGACGAGCAAGGGCTAAGCACGCTCACCTCCCGTGGTTCTTTCTTGCTCTGCCACTCTGCGGACTGACACGATGTAGAATCCTGTGATTAGATTTTACTCAGAAACCTGAAAACGGGTCATACTGTTCCATTTGTACCAAGACAGCTAAGCCCAGAACACCAAGTCAAGGCTGAGATGCAATGATGCAGTGTTTGCCTGGCGGCGGGGTCGTGGGGGCAGGGGCCGCTACTACTTTGGCCGGGCCCCTGCAAGCTGGGCAGCCAAAGGCTTACAAGGGCCCCATCCACGCTAGGAAGCAGAACCCCCCAGAAATGAACAAAATGGTGAAAGTGTGATTTAACTTCATTTGACGGGAGTTGTTCCAGAAAAGTGGTAATGTGAGGGAAATCCAATCCAATCAAACTTTAAACAAACTGAGAGGGTATTCTGTTTAAAGCCGTCAGTGTCCTTCAACTCTGAGAGGTCCAGAAGCCTTTCCTTTAAAAAATACCAAATGCATCGTGCACAGTGCACATACACAAGACAACGGGCACACAATTTTAGGAGATCCTGGGCCCTAAGGATCCAGCGTCTTGAAGGGACCCCCCCCCCCAGTTAAAAGGCACTCACAAATAATCCTTTTTTTTTTTTTTTTTTAATGAACAGAGGGATGAAAACCCAATTTTTCAGGCTAATCAATCTGGATTTTTATACACCAGGTTTACTTCAAGTCGAATTTGCCCTTAGAACGCATGTTTGTGCTTTCAGTTTTCACATGAACAGACTCACAGGCGATGGTGGACAAGTGCTGGAGACCCGGTGGCGCCGCCCCCAGATTCTTACCAGTGTGTGTCTTCATGTGCTCGTCGAAGTACTGCTTCATGTTGAAGTCCTTGCCGCACCACTGGCACATGAACTGCTTGTGGCCGATGTGGATGCTCATGTGGGAGCGCAGCTGGTACTTGTACTGGAACCTCTCGTCACAGTTCTGCACGGGACACAGGGGGGACTCCTTAGGGCCAAGCACAGCAGCTTCCCTGGAGCCCCCCCCTACAAAGCCTCCAAGACCAGGCTTCTCTTTCATCCTTCAAACAGAACCTGCTGTGGCAGCTCTGGCTCTGCTCTCTTTCTGCCGCTCGGTTATTCGTAAAAGGGGAATTTTCCCCAATAATTAGCACTGTAGTCACACCCAACTTCTTCGGATTCCTGAGGGAAGGAGAGTAACTCCTCGTGTGTCTCTCCTGGGCTCGAGCTCGTCTGAGAGGGTTGATGGCGTGGTAACGATGACCCTCCTCTACCTGGCAGTGAGGGGACACAGGGTGCTCGGAACGCACGTCTGGAGGGCCTCACACCTGTCCTACACACGCCTCTCCCGCACTGCTCGCCACGAATACTATGAGCTCGCCCCGGGCCTGGGGGGGCAGTGCTCCTTACCTCGCATCTGAAGGGCTTCTCTCCAGAATGCTGCAAGGAGTGCACCTTGAGAGACATGCTGCGTTTGAACGATTTTCCACAGGTTTCGCATGTAAATGGCATGTCTTTCGTGTGTGCTGCAACACAGAATGCACTGTATTCAGAATAAGGCCCCCGAAAAGCCCAAGCCGGGAAAGACTCATGTACCACTGCAGGGGACTCATGCCATCTGGACTTTCTAACTTTAACCTGTGAGGCCTTAATAGCAATGTTCTGAAGAGAAACAGAAATAACAAGGTTGGAAAGGAACCTGTCCCGGGCCAGTCGGTAGTGCGGACGGAGGACAAGCCGCAGTTAGTTTTGACAAGTTGGAACGGGTTAGAGGAAGGCCCTTCCTCAGATCCTGCCCCATCCGAAGCATAAAACACACCAAAGAACAAGGACAAATTATAGGCGTGAGAGAAAAGCAGCAGAAGAAACTTACCAACCATGTGTTTCCGCACATGAGCCATGGTATAGAATTTCTTCTCACAAATTTCACAGGAAAACTTCTTTTCTGCATATCCATGGACAATCTTGATGTGCTCATGAAGGGACCAGAGTTTCTTGAATGATTTGTTACAGGAAACACACTGAGCAGGATAAATAGAAATAATCTTTATTTACAGGGGCTTGCAGAAAGCCATTGCTGCCTACTGGCTGACGAAACGGTGTGCTTGCGATTCGCGGCATGAGGCCCGAATCCAAACAGATGTCAGTCCTCCGAGGAGTCCAGATGCCAACACCAACATCTGTACATTCTATTTTCCAAGACACATCTTTTAGAGACGCTCTGGGAGTACGAAAACAACGGCCAAAAGTAAGACAAAAAAGAAATGGCAAGTTCTGCTAATGTAAAAGACTTGATTGCTTTCATCAAATTAATACCGTACCCGTGGAGAAGAACTAAGTTTTGAAAAATAAATGGATTACCCAGAGCAGCTGCCTCCTCTACACAGGTCACTATGCAGTTAACAGGTGTTCACCAGGGAATACAAACTAATTTTAAACGAGCACAAATAAAAGCGAGATAAAACACATATTAATGGTTATAGATCTGTGGAAGTAGAACAATGTTTCTGTACCTTAAAGAATGCATTTGAAGCCTTCCTTAACATGCATTATTGAGATTTTATTATATTTTCCCATATCTAATTTACTCTATGGAACACATCCCTCTGGCAGAATTTCCTGTAACTTCTCAGCCGTCAGTGTCCTCCTCCCCTTCCCTGGTAGCTAGCCCCAGATCTTCTGTCCACGCATCTACAGGAAACACACGCAACAGTGCCTAGAGTTCCTTGTATTATGAATCAGTCATAGTCTGGGATACCAGGCACAAAGTGTATCAAATTAAAGTGCTTCTGGTTAAAGCAAAATGATACTAGAAAGTTCTGGGTAACAACTGCCTTGGAGATATTTAGGGGAACAAGTTATTCACGGGAAATAAAAATCTCTGAACATCAGTCACTTCAAGAAACAAGGACTCTGAGAAGAGTGAAAAAATAAATCAGCCTCTGGTTGGACCTGCTTGAGAGGACAGACCTACCCCTACCAGCAGGCAGGGTTTCAGTTTTTCCTTGTTACTGGATCACCAGGATCATAAGGAGCCATAAATGTATGAACACAGCAGTGTTCTTTAGGAATGTAAAGGGAGCTCTTTCAGCAGAATCCACAAAACCTGAATGTGAGCTAAAGTGCCTTATGGTGAGCAACCGTGAGGAAAGTCACAGAATGAGGATGTATTAAATGTTTTCTTTCTGTAACTTAATAAAGCAAATTTAAGTTTAAAAAACAAAAACAAAAACTGGGGCGCCTGGGTGGCTCAGCCGTTAAGCAGCTGCCTTTGGCTCAGGTCGTGATCCCAGGGTCCAGCTCCTTGCCCAGCGGGAAGCCTGCTTCTCTTTCTCCCACTCCCCCTGCTTGTGTTCCCTCTGTCGCTGTGTCTCTCTCTGTCAAATAAATAAATAAAATATTTAAAAAAACAGAAAAACCCCAAAACCCCACAATATGGAAAGGAGCTATCCCTCTCATCATCAGGGCCCCAGTCTCACCCCTAGGGTGCAGCACTGCACCACACTCCCCTCGGCCTGCACTGTCACAACCAAGTCCTAACCAAGCAAGGGAGCGGGAGTTTCTGGAGGGTCTGGGCGCTGTGACTCAGCCTTTTTTTTTTTTTTTTTTTTAAATATCCAGCATGTAAGAGACCACGCCGCAACTGACGAATCAAAAAGCGGTGAATTTTTAGGTAACATAATTTATACTGAAGAAATCTCTTTAAAGTAAAGCAACGATCTCAGCTGTTGATGAAAAGCGAGAGGTAAAGTGAGAAGGAAGGAGGGCACTCCAGGTCAGGCGCACTCCAAGAAACAAACCAAAACAAAACAACTGCATTTTTCAAAAGAAGTTTGGCTTAAATACGGCACAACACATGTGTATTTTACACATCTTACGGAGACAGTAATAGACTTACCTTTTATGAATATTCATTAACAGGCATTCACAGGTATAAAGCAATGCAGCTCAACGTAATATAATTCACTCAACATCATGTAATTAGCGCACCTCTTACCCTACCGCAATATAGTCCTTTCGAGACATCAGCCTGGTTTGAAAACCACATTCTGTTACCTTAATAATACTGCACAGAAGCATTACGTAACCCTAGCGCCAGGTGGGCAACATTTCCAACCAGCTCAGCCTCGTTTTAAAGTTTGCATACTCCCATGGGCTCAGCCTCTTGATAAATTTAATGTTGTCATCTCTCCACTGGTAAGAGCAACTCACTCCCGGAGATCTTCCATTTTCACCGGTCTGAGTCATTACGGTTTTTGTCCCCAGCCGCTGCACTAGAATCTGGCATCCTTTCAGACCTAGAAGGGGACCTCTCTCTATTCCTGACCTTCACTCAGTATCTCCCACCTTGACACAGAAGATGCCAGAATGAACTCTACATTACACGTCTCACGACAGTGAATCTCAGTGCAAAGCCGGTGTTGACTTTACCTCCCGGGCCATCAATCACCTACGACAGACTCCCCCTTCCAATGGACCTGCGTTCCCACTAGTCCAGCGTCAGGTAAATGCAATGCTTTTGAAAGAAAACGTTAAGCCTGGGTTTTCAAAAGACCCAAAGCAGGAGCTTTGAAAAAAGATAAATCGGTGACCACTGTCCCTTCAGCCTCTACGGTATTTATTCTCTTGGGCCGACGCCTGGTGCGTCTGAACAGCCAGGTGCTATCCTGGGAAGTTTGCCCTCTCGGTGGTGAGACCTACCTGAATATTTTTTTCACAGTCTGTTTGCTGGTGAAGGGACAGCTCACTTTCCAGGACAAACTTCTTGCCACACTTATCACAAATCTGCATGCGCCTGTGAGTAACGTTCATGTGCTTCTCCAGGTACCAGCGTGTATTAAACACCCTGGGGCACTTCTCACAGGTCAGAGTCTCTTTCTCTTCGCACTTAGCTTTCTGGACGGGCGCTCTGGGCTCCTTGGCGGCCCGCTTCTTACGCTTGGGCGGCTCTGCACTCTTCCTCCTCCCTCTCGTAGTCCTGGGAGTCGGGGACGTGGTCGCCGCAGCCACGGAGCCGGCTCTCCTGGTTCTCCTTTGGGTGACGCTGGCCTTCTCCGCCGTCTTCTCCTTCTTCTTCTGCCTTCCGTTCTCACCGTAGTCATTGCTGTCATCGGTGGCCTCTTCCTCACTCTCCTCCTCCTCCTCCTCACTGCTTGTCTTAAGAACAGGAGTCTCTTTGGACTGAGAAGAGACACCCTTTTCCCCTTTAGATACATTTAATGTTTGATTATTAAGGTTTACCTCCACTATGATCTGCTCCCTTTTGTAAGAGACTTCCTCCTCCTCCTCCTCCTCCTCTTCCGTGTCATCAGAATTCTCCCGGTCTTCTTTGACAGCGCGCACGTCAGACACTGCCCTTGGTTCCCTGAAATACGGCTGTTCCTCCGCTTCGTGGAGATGCGGCGTGCTCATCTTGGTGTCCACTAACACCGAGTAAGGACTTCCTGACTCCCTTTTGTACACTTTGGTGGACAGGTCAAGTTCTTGGTTGGCACCATGATAAAAGGTAGGCGGCACTGGAGCACGACGGCTGTCTTCCTGTGCCATTCCTGCTGCAGGCACGGCGCAGCTGTCCCCCAGCCCCTGACGAGAGCTGGCTGTGTGGCTCATGGGTCAGGGGCCCGAGGGAGGACGCAGTTCAGACTGTAGAGAAATCGCTTCAAAACAGGGTAATTATTAAGACTCCAATTTTTTTCCATCCACAAAGAATCACTCAAATGAAAAAAAAAAAAAAAAAAAAAAAAAAAAAAAAAAAAAAAGGTGTTTCTGGAGGCTGTATGCAATTCTTCCAGTGTGGCAGCACCAAAGCATAAGTCAGAAGGTTTGGTATGACGGCAAGAGCAGAGCACTAGTGACTTTTCTTTTGAGGAGAGCTGCAGATGACTTGGACCATCTTATCTACAAAGCAAAGCAAAGAGGAAAAAAGGTCAGATACCACGATTTCCTTCCCACAGCATGCACGTTACATCATACGACACGGCTGAAAAGGGCGCAACTCTTTACAGAGGCAATTCCTGATCCTTGCTTAAATGGTTCAGCGCGGACCACTGTTTTACCGGGCTGCTGGTTTACTACATTCAACACCATTTTGTCAGAGTGTAGACTGCAAGATAGCAGGAGTCTGTCTGTCCCGCACCCTGGGCCACCCTTAGAGCTTAGCACAGTGCCAAGCACTTTGTAGGTGTTTGGTATGAATCTGATGACAAAACCGACAGGTACTGTCCCATGGCATTCATTATGCTAGAGGCTACGGGACGTGCTGATATGGCAGAATATGTGGTCTCTGTCCACAGGAAGTCTATAGTCTTGTCATCTAAACAGGTGTCCTAGGTGATACACGCAAGAGCTTTCTGCTGGCTGGCTTTGTTTTCTTTCTTTAATTTATTTGACAGAGATCACAAGTAGGCAGAGAAGCAGTCAGAGAAAGAGGAGGAAGCAGGTTCCCCGCTGAGCAGAGAGCCTGATGCGGGGCTTGATCCCAGGACCCTGGGATCATGATCTGAGCCGAAGGCAGAGGCTTTAGCCCACTGAGCCACCCAGGCACCCCCTGGCTTTGTTTTCAACATCAGTCACCACTGTCCACCAGTTAGGGCTCAAAGAACCAAGCTGGCTGTGAGCTAGGCACTGTGGACCAGGGAGACACAACAGCTAGTTGACGTAACTACAGAAGAGACAGAGACTGTCCGTGGCCTGAAGTAATGTATAATCTCGGGGGAGGTATTATTATAGATATTACTGGGTTCAGGCTCATCAGAGTAATTTCAAAGCTGCTAAGTATTTTTAAGTTTGTCCCATGCGTGGCTCGCTAAATCCACTCAATAGCCGGGGAATTCTTCATGTGTCAGTTGCACAGAAGTCTAATGAATTCTAAGAAACAGTAACCATCAGGTTGATACGGTTCCAAGAAAAATGAAACCATCCATTAAATAAAAAAAGAGAGAGAGAGAGAGAGAAGGGTGCCTAACGTGCTTTGTGCCGCGGCTCACATTGCTGTTTGGCCAAAGACCTCATCCCTGAGTCATGACTAGCGCTGCGAGTGCCTCCCCCATCCAGCCAACAGAAGGAAGGCAACCAGCACTCACTGGGCCTGCCGCATGCACCAGCAGGCAAAGCGGCCTCTCCTTAGTCCTATTTAACAGGTGTTTAAACTCATTTTTGATTTTTATTTATTTATTTTTTACCAAAGTAATCACTAAAAAAAAATAGCAAAGCACACGTCATTTAAGTCACGTACCTGGCAAGGATTGTAACAAAAAGAGTAGCCCTCTGCCGACTCCATCCTATCTGATCCCGTGGCCCAGAGATGAAAATGTTCAACTACTTTAGCTCCTCCTCCCCAGTATTTCTTTCCACGGTTCTTTTTTTTTTTTTTTAAGATTTTTATTTATTTGACACAGAGAGAGAGTGTGAGAAAAAGTGTACAAACAGTGGGGAGAGGCAGGGGGAGAGGGAGAGGGAGAAGCAGACCCCCTGCTGAGCAGGGATTCCCAATGCAGGACTTGATCCCAGGACTTTGGGATCATGACCTGAGCTGAAGGCAGAGGCTTAGCTGACTGAGCCACCCAGGCGCCCCCTCCTTCCATATTCCTAAACATGATTATATTTCTATTTCTTGAGTTTTTTCATTTTAAGATGTTACTGTTTGTCTCCCACTAGTTTTTCTCACCTGACTGCCCCCAGTCCTCCCTCCATCCTCCTGCGATAGTTCTATCATAGCTTTTCGTTAAGTCAATACTTATTCTTACATTATGACGACTCTAATATGTGGTCCACAAATACTTTGTCATTTCTTGTTACTATCTTCTGTTTTATTCATCCTTATGGATTTGCCCTTTTAAAAAAGTGATTTGGGGCACCTGGGCAGCTCAGTTGGTTGAGCGTCCAACTCTTGGTTTTGGGTCGGGCCATGATCTCAGGGTCAAGAGACCAAGTGTCAGGCTCCATGCTGTGTGTGGAACCTGCTTGGGATTCTCTCTCTCTCTCTCCCCCGCCCTTCCCCCTACTTCTACCTCCTCTTTATAAAAAATAAATTAAAAATTAAAAAAAAATAAAAAATAGGGGTGCCTGGGTGCCTCAGTGGATTAAACGTCTGCTTTAGATTCAGGTCATGATCTCAGGGTTGTGGGATCAAGTCCCACATCAGGCTCCTTGCTCCACGGGGAGTCTGCTTCTCCCTCTGCCTGCTGCTCTCCTTGCCTGCATGCTTGCTCTCTGACAAAATTAAAAAAAAAAAATTAAAAATAGAAAAATTAAGAAGTGATTTTATACTTTCATTTCAGTGAAAGTTCAGAAAGTCCGGGTGATAAACACCGCCATGCTTTACTTGACATCTGCAGATATATTTGTACTTACTTGTATTTATAAATAAGAAACTCATGCCTCTAAGAGGCTAAATAATTTGTCTGATATTACATATCTATTAAATGACCGAAGCAGTGCCCAACCCAGGCCTGCCTGACTCCACAGCTCATGGTCTATTGCTACTCTGGCAAATGACACTCCAAAATAACTTAAACTTGGTTGTCCCTATAACCACGTATCTTTCTGCACATATCAAAATTTCCCGCCTCACACTTTCAGTAGGAAGATCTCAGTGGCTTTCAGTTCTGCTTAGTCTTATTTTTGCCTGTGCCAAAACTTCTGACCTGTGGAACTAAACTACTACAAATACCATTAAACTTACTCACATTAATTATCTCAAATTAAGCAAGGGAGGAGAGACGGTAAAATTCAATTAACCAGCAAAAGCTAGGAATTAAACAAAAAGCAGGAAGACAAAGAAAAATAATTGAGGGGAAATCCTCTGTGGTCATAATGAATGTGTTCTTCCCAAAGACCTCTGGGCTCTTAGACTTCAGGGCACGTGGTAGGACTGTGTGTTCTGACCCTGTCCCCTCCCTGCAGCTGGGTGGGGCCATGTGACTACTTCTGGACAGGACTACCTCCTGAGCAGGAGGGGCGCGCAGAACACGGCATTTTCTCACCAATGAGACCCTCTAGCTCTCCCTCTGTGACAGGGACCACCCATCTTCAAGATGACAACTGCTGTCACTGCTCTCCACCCAGGTCCCAGAGTGACAAAATTGACCTATGGGCTATGTGCGGTACAGTGGATTTTTTTTTCTTTTTCATTTAATTTTACCCAGAGTGTGTTTTTAAAATCTCTGAGATCTTATGTTGGTTAGTACTGGCTTCTCCTAGCTGATACAGACAGAGCCCAGGAGTGGGTGTTGCCTCATCCAGAAAACTCAAACACATGGCAAAGGCTTAGGAGCTGGTGAAAAGGGGCCAAGAAACGGGTACAGGAGGCTAACAGGACAGCAGCGGTGAAATTCTCGGGGAGACTATCCCCTATTTCTCTCGGAAGCTAGAGAGCTCACGGCTCTAACAGGAAAACGCACTATGACGGCAGCATGTCGGTTACTATTGGCTGTATCTGACAAATCATTACACGAAAAGGACGAATTCAGAAAAGAACTGATCGGTCAATAATCAGGATTAAAGGAGTTCAGAAAGTTAGCGATTTGTAGAGCTTAGAAGCAGATGCTTAATAAAAATAGAGAAGATCTGGAGCTACAAATGCTGACTAGAATTTGGTCCTGAGGCAGGACCCAGCCAAAGATGTGCTTCCGCAGCCACGGGTAAAAACCGCCCGGTGGATTAAGGCGGCACCTGGTAAAGTAGCTTTTCTCAAAGAGGCATGAGGAGGTTCTCTCACCAAAGCAGTTTCTTAGTGTGTTTGGCTACAAAGCCCATTTCTCTAATGTGAATTAGTCCAAATGCTATTAGGAAGTGGGGAAATGATGTCAGTGTAATAGCAAAGTCCCGTCGGTTAATATGAGATTTCCCCCTGCAAGTTAATGTTTCAAGGGATCAAGAAAAAGCTTTCTCACAATGAACAAGACAGCCTTAGCAATACATGAAGGCTGGGAGAAGAAAGCTGAACATCCTATTTCTGTACCTTCCTTTAACACAAGTAGTGGCTGGTTCACCTGCTTCATGAACCACTGATGCAAGCCCCGGGACTGGGGAGTGGTTTGTCACCCCAGCATCATCTAGCTAACGGGGTTCTTCATGAATATGTACATGCATACATAGTACATGTGTCAGCTATCTCAGTCCTCAGCTAGACAGCATACACAGCATTACTAAGTGAAAAGTTAAAAAAAAAAAGTAAGAAAAAGTTTAAAAAAAGATAAAAAATTACTAAGTAAAAAGGGCTCAATTCACAGGGGAATTCTCTATTTAATAAGTTAGAAAATAAGACTATTCTTTCTTTTAAAAAATTGCAGTTAGAACACTTTATTCTATTTTAAATGATACACACATATATGCCTTCCCATATAAAACTGAGACTGTCTCCCACTGTCGCAAACGGGGAAACTCACGGAGACATCGACAAACCACACGGTCACAATAGGACATGCAGTCTAACTGTTCACTTTGAAACACACGTAGGCTTTCTGCCCACTTTCTACTTTCTTCATTCCATCTTGGCACCTTTTCCCTTATCTCAGTTTTGATGATAATCTTCCTTTAATCTTCTTCCAGAAGATTTAAACTATCTCCTAAGAGCACAATCGAGTAACCTGTACAAAACCAAAAGCACATTAGGGAAATCAGAACGTTCCATGTTTCATTATCCAACTCTTAATGTGTCCCCTCAGTTCTAACTGACTTATTACTGCTCATCTTAACTTCCTTTTTCAGGGTACTCTCCAGGTGAGTACACAGAGCTCAAAGAACCTGGAAGTGGACGGAAGCAGCAAATAAGAAATAACCCTCACTGATATCTGAAGTTGCTCAAATTCATTTCTCTTTGGTATTAAGTTCTTAGAGATCATTTTCTCCTGCTTCTGAAAATAAATTCCAAACCGAAGCAGGTCATTCCTTAGTGC